AAGTCCTCAAGGCATCTATATCAGAATTTTTAAAAAGGGGTTTAATGACTCAGATTTTATGAAAGAAAAGAATAAGACTAAAAAAAGCATTAAAAATAGAATTTCTTTTTGAAAATGACAAAATGCATTTGCCATGTTTATATATTTAGTGTAGATTTTCCCTGTGACATTCTAAAATGCTTTTGCATTCAAACATTGCTACCCATTTCATAGATTAAGAGGTAGGGTGTGGTTAGGAGTATGCAGGATGGATATTAAGTAACTCACTGAGAATTAGATGGTGGACAATTAAGGGAACTGGGAACTGGGTATAGTTTTTGTGCACTAAAAATACTGCCTTTCCAAATGCATCATGAACACTTCACACAAACGTTAATTTAAACATCCCTTATATGCTGTTCTAATATTAATGTGTTAATATGTATATATGTGGATATATATACACACATATATTTTGATATTTTAAAAACAGACACACACACACACACACACACACACACACATAGATTCAGATGGATTTTGATGAAACTGCTCTTTCAAAAGAGTTTAAAAGATCTTGTTAAAAATGCTCCTCCTTTAAAAGAAAGCTTCTGTGAATTAATATAGTCATATTACTCAGGCAGATACTACCCTAGATTTGAACTAACTTTCAATATTAAAAAAAATCTGGAATCAGTCTGGAAAATCTGAAAATGTTACATGAAATTATTGTAGAGCTAAGTAGACATGTGCTTAGGATATTTATATAAAATTATGAGCAGCTTATTCTCTTTGTAATTGGTTTAGATGCCAGATTGCAACTTTGACACCATTACCTATAACTTATCAAAGAGATTTATGCTTTGCAACTGACATTTTAAATTGGAGATTTACTTGAACTGGTACCTAACGTGTTTTCTGTAATTAATTCCTTTGAGGTCAAGTTTCATGGACACAGAATTCCTTTAACATTAATCCCTCCTTTAGCAATATCTTTATTGTCGGAATTAACAGTTGAAAAAAACGTTAAGCTTGTTTTCAAGTAAGATTCTCAGTTCCAGATATTGTTTGTTTAACCAATGCAAGATTTTCTGAGTAGTGCAAAATATCTTAAAAATAGATGCTGTGGCGTCAATACATGAAAAGAGCCAGAAGTTAAATCAATCATATGTTAATATGAAATGGAAAGTTTAATTATGTAGATACTTAAGTTCTTACTAGAAGACCTCGGTAATGGTCTCATTTTAAACTTTATACTATTATTCAGGTTATTTGTACATAATACCTACAATTTGTAAGCTTTACATGTTTTTTTTCTGGTTATTCAGGAGATGTTAAGATTATTTTGTTAGATTGGTGGATAGCACAATTTTTTGGATGATGATATTCACTAAACTGTTGAATGAATGACGTTCTGATGGTAGCTGGTTTCCAGTTTTAAGAATGAGAACAATACATTTAACAGCTGGGATATAAATAACTTAATATATAGTAGTTTACTATTCCCAAAATGAATTTTGTCAAGCAAGAAAAAAATGTTTATCAGTTAGGCATGGTTACCTTTTTGCAGTTGCTAATTTATGCTTTCTTGCATTGTCCAAAGAAAGACAAACCTTGGTTTTCCTTCCTTAGCATCTGCATAACCACTCTCAGATGAATTGGACAGTTTACATTTTTGGTGTCTGTTTATATATGAAGCATGGAAAGGAGTTGTGAGGCTACTCAGCAGTCCTTAATGAAAGCCAAGTGCTCACCAATTCCACATAATTGATTAATTCACATGGAATACAGTGGTAAGGGATGCTGAAATCAGTGGGAGTTTTGCCTCTCAGGTCTGGCACTCCAAAAGGTGGAATGGGTAATGTTTTGTCTTGGACTTCAAGACTCCTTAATGAGACCTAAGAAAATATTTGTCCTGACTTTAGTAAAACTCCTTGCACATTTTTTAAAATGCATTATTAACCCTTCATCAACAACAGCATCCAAATATTCACAAAGTTGCTGCATTTTGCTCAGAGATGATGGCTTTGGCTTCATGGGTGGATGTTGGGGTTTATGTTTAGAGACATAATCAATGATTCTCCCCCCACCTTGGTAACTTGGGGAGGAAATTGAAGTATTTAAAGATATGTTTCAAAAACATTTTACCTATCTGTATAGGTCAATATTTGATAGATTTAGCTTAAAATAGTTTTTATTTTTCTCTTTTGGGTGTTTGGTGCTTAAACTCTCCCTTAAAATGCTATGCAGTACTATCCCAAACTGGAATATCAGGCTCTAGAGCCAGATCTAATTCTCCGAGCTAAGGGTTTTGTTTATCTCTTAATAGAGGAAAGCAACAAAGATACTAACATTAGGAAATGAAAGTACAATTTTAGACTAAAGCAAAGTAGACTATTTTGAGAAAGAAACAAAAACATCAACCCATTCAGAAAACTTTAGCAAATTAGGCTACATGTTACTATTATGTTAGTGATTTTTCACATTCCAATAAAACCAGGTTTAGATGCCATCAATATTTTAGATAATATCACACATAACTTGAGACCACACATACCTGGCACCATAGTATTCTGCACACATATGGCTACCACATGAAAGGAAAGTATTGTAAAAACTTGGTGCTTATACATTTTTCCCTTTCTGAATGATTTCTGTGAAAATGAATATACAAAGTTATGTATAAAATCTAGAATCCTTGATGTTCCAATACAGATTCTGCAACAAA